ATGCTATCAGACAGTGAGAGCTGCTAGCTATTATTTACTAGTGTCAACCACTTACACTCCTGAAATATTTTATCAGTCAGCTAAAATTGCACATAACTCCAAATTACTACAGATCTGCAATATTATTACAGTTTTCCCTTTTGTTTTTTTCAGTGAAGCGATATCTTTATCTTGCAGAGATGATGGCTGTAGTTTTATTTCAACATATGTACTGACTGACTGCCTAAATTTGGGTACTTATATAATGTGTTTTGATTGGGGGTTTTTTGTTTTGTGGTTTGGTAGAAGTCATGTGAAAAAGCCCACAACGCTGCTCTTACCCTAACTGAAAAGTTGGGTACCTTTCAGAAAGCAGAAGTAAACAGTGGTATGACGCAGATCATCGTAAAGAACTGTTCTCTTAGTTGTTTGCAAGAACTTGTTAGGTTTTATATTCGTTTCTAGGTTGCTAACTGTCAGGTCTTAAACGCTGCAAGCTGAAAATCAGATATGGGTTCAGTGTTGATGTGTTGCAGTGTTTTCAGTATTCACTAAGGGTTGGGGTTTTTTTTCACACTAAAGCCCAAGAATGTTACAGCAACATTTAGTGTAGGTATTTGCTAACCAGATAAGTACCTTAACTGTGTCATGTACATAAACAAAAAGATGATGATAAATTCAGCTAAATCTACTTTTGGAGTAAATTTTGAAAAGACAGGAGAACTGCTGTTCATATGATCAGGTGTTATGTGGACTGTTGTAAGTGCTGGGAGTTTAGACCTTGGTTTTAGGATGTTTTAGTGGCAGTGTTGTACATGGTTAACATGTGACTGTTTTCACATGAAACACGTATTTGGTAGCCTTTAACAGACACAAACATTTCTACCTTATGTAAGTTATTAAGGGTTTTGCTTTTATTATGCACTGTATATTACTGCAGCTGTTCTCGTTCAGTGTGCTGAAAGTTTTTTAATAGGTTTAGTGTTTTTATTCAATTTCTTACTATAAAACCTTTATTTGCAGAAGCACCTCTCATAAATCAATGATTCTTTAAATGCAGAATTGACCATAGTGCCTCCTTTATAACTGAATATCCCAGAAATTGAAGAGTTTCCCTTGTTTCCTTGCTGTTTCTTTTTGTGTAATAAACAATTATGGATTTGCACTTTTCTCTGTTTAGGCAAATACAGTAATCAAGTGTTCCTAAGAGAAGAGATTCATCCTTCCAGCTGTCCAGAAAAAGTAACAGAGTCAGGAAAAACTAACTTAGGATTCATTATTTTATCTTCTTCTTATAGACCTCCACTAGTCAGGCAATCTTCTGCCTTCAGTCTGGTATTTGTCAGCTTTTCCGAGAAACTCTTATTCGCAAGGGATTTGTGGAAATTCAGACTCCCAAAATCATTTCAGGTATTGTATATGTGATCCAGCAGCTACAGGTCTGCTTCTTTTACAGTTTCTGAGTGAACTTATCTGCCAAAAATGTAGTAGCTTTTTATTTAAAAAAGTTCTATTTCTGATTTAGATGCAACATAGCAAACTTCTTTTAGCAGGTAACAGAGTTGTTTACTTTTCTCCTGACTTGGGATATTAAAAGAATGACAGGACAAGTATTATACATACCTGATTTATGCACTCTGCGGTGCATTTTAAGTTTTAATTTGGTTAAATACAGATGTCTGATCATATGCATTGTTCTTCAAATCAGTGTTCTCAATGTTAAGCACTGCCAATTCCATTCCCAGTATAAAAAACCCAACACTAATGTAGATTAAAAGTAGCTGCCATCATAAAGAAGTTACAACAAACATAGCATGATATAAAAGATGATGGCATTATATACAATATGTCATTTCTTTAGCACTGAGCATATGGCTGAATAGAAGGTGGTAGATCATTTTTCTGAAAGTGTGGCATAACAGCTTCAACCCAACTAAAAGTCTGGAAATGTAGATTTGTTGTTGATCTGCTGTATTGTTTTCAAAAGTCAAATTACTTGATTTACTAATGGATGTTTTTCTTCCATCTTATTGGTGTTCTTTGAAGTTTTGTGGATGTCACAAAGACATACGGCATGGAAAATAAAGGGCAGAATATTTATATTATTCTCATTATATGTGCATTCATTATAGGCATACGTTTTGCCTACTGAATTTTATACTTCTGTATTGATATTTTTGAAGATAGGTCTTGACTGAGATAAAAAAGGGTTTTTAAAGGAAATATATGTAAGCAACTATTCTTTCAGCATGGAAAGTATTGTTGAACTGTAAGATTAGATAACTTTTTTCCTACCGAGACAGTTGAAACAGCATGAAGTACTAAAGACTCCCAAGTAGTTTATTCACGTACGACCTTTGAGGAAGTGTGCTAGTCTTACTGTGCAGCGTACCATTGAAAGCAAGCAAGCAAGCATCCTATTGTTTGAATGAGATCATACTTTTTAAAAATAACTAAGTTAAGTCGATGCAATCCTTACTAAACTTCAAATTTAAATATCATAGCTGTTCTAAGATTTGAGATTTTAAGTTAACTGTTTTCAAAAATAACTATTCACTGAAACCGTTTCAGTGGGAGTAGTGGTCATCAAACAAAGAAACATTAATCTCAGTGGAGTGGTTGGTAATAATAATAATAATTAGTACTTTACCTAGAGTTATCTTAACATTAAAACCTTCAAAGATTAGTTAATTAATCTTTCAGTCTGGCATGCTTTTGTTAGCAAGTTAGGGAACTACAACTCTTGTATCACACACTGGGAAATGGAGAGTTAAAGTGACTCAGCTGAAAGTTTTGGTAGGCAGTTTGCAGTAAGGGATTCAAATGCATGTGTTCTTGGTTCCTGTTCTCTCAAGGTAACCTTCTATGAAAACTGCCTCAAACTGAGGCAGCTTTATAACTTTGGCAGATGTCCTCTGATAAATCTGGTTTTGGCTCTGAGGGGTACTTATGCCTGCAGTTAGAGAGGATGGTCCTGGCAAAACAGGATATGCACTTTCATCTCAGCCTCTGCAATTAACCCCTGGAAGCCTATGTCACTGATAAAGATAGATTTCCACAGAGATACTGGGCTGCAAGTAGATGTGGTGGTACAAGCATGCATCCTCTGCTGTTCTTGCTCTGAGGTGAAGGACAGCTGGGAATAGAAACATTATAAACTACCCCAGCTAAATGGACAGATTTGCAAGTCAATGTGTGACAGTCCTGAGCTGCAAAACTTCCCTTAGCATTAAAGGATGGAAATATATTTTTTTCCACTAATACGCTTTGAAGAAAAATCTCCTTCTGATATCTAAATATAAGATCAATAGACTATCATTCTACCTCTGATTTCTTTTTTACATTTTAATTTGAATAATTACTGCAAGCATTTGCTTTTCAGCTGCCAGTGAAGGAGGAGCCAATGTGTTTACTGTATCATACTTCAAAAGCAGTGCCTACCTGGCTCAGTCCCCACAGCTGTACAAGCAGATGTGTATATGTGCTGACTTTGAAAAGGTTTTTTGCATTGGGCCAGGTAAGAAAAGTGTTGGTTTATCCAAAGTGTGCAGTGATGGCTTTTAGCAGCTGTGGTACAAATAAGATAACAGACACGCTGAAAGCTTTGAATGGTTTCACGTAATACAGTTTCACTTACAAAATTCAGTTGGGGCAACTAATGAGAGTAAAGTTGACAGAGAAGTTGCTGGAACAAATCTAAAATGCTGAAATAAGGGTGGAGTGCTCTTCTGCAGTGCCTGCTGTTCTGTGAGGAGAAAGAATAGAGTTGCGTTGGAAATCAATAACATGATGAAGGTAGTAAAACATGGAACACAACTGTGATTACTGACGCCGTAGTTCTCGATTAACCATGGCCAGTAGTTGCCTCTTTGCCTTTAGTTGCCCAGTAGTAAGCAGTTAAAATAGGCAAGCTACGTTTTATGTACTTCAGATTGCATATTAATATATACTTATCCCCTGCTTTTGTATATGTACCAAACAGCTTTATTTAGAAAATGCATACTTCTAACTGGGCTGTCAGTAAATAATAAAAAATTAATAACTTCCAGTGTCATGGTCTGTTTCTCAAAAGCTGATAGGTCATGGCCTCTTTAGGTGGTAATACAGCATTGGTTTTCGAAGACCTCAAAGACAGGTTTAAAGATTCATTAGCTGGAAGTGCTGGAAAACAAGTCAATAACAGCTTATAAAATAAATTTTAAAAAAAGATGCAAGTAATTCAGAAGATTTAAATTTCTTGTTACTTACTAACAAATGAGTCATGGTTTCTAGGAGACATTTTTATATTAGACTCATATATCTGGAAAAAAGAACCCAACAGAACACACACGTGCACAAGTCCATTTCCTCTGAAAAAGGCAGTTTTCAAACCTGAAAGGTCTTGTGTGCCTGAAAGCTTGTCTGTTTTTTCTACTTATGTCTGCTGGTCTAAGGAGAGATACTGCCTCCACAAGTCTTGCATCCTTTGAGCACCACAGCTACAATAATGCTGTCGCTGTTGTTATAAATGATGGTCTCAGGCAGCTAGTTTGTTTTTCACTGAGAATTGTCATGTCTAAAGACAGCATTGTCTGCCTGATCCAAATGCTGATGTGATTGATTGTCAGTGTTATTTTTCAAAATGGAATGATAATTTCAGGTCAGTTAGACTTTCTGTTGTTTGATTTTACAGTATTTAGAGCTGAGGACTCCAATACACACAGACACCTGACTGAGTTTGTTGGTCTGGATATTGAAATGGCTTTTAACTATCACTATCATGAAGTGGTAGATGAGATTGCAGATACCTTGGTGCAGATATTCAAGGGACTTCAGGAAAGGTAATGAGAGCATTTTCCATTTCATGAGCAATTTCGTTTGTTTGAGATCTCTTGCATTGTGGTATGAAATGGGTGAGCATTTTATCCCCAGCTTGTCAGATAATCATTAGTAATCCGATTTACAACAAAACTTTAAACCAGACATTTTTGCTTTACTCTTAACTATTTCTTTGTGTCTGACTTTTAAAGTTCACTCTAGCCATAGGCCAGCAAACTGTCTGGTTTTAGCCCGAGTTGCATCTTCTAGAGTATGCTAGCTTGCACTAGGAAAACTTGTTTACTGTGGGAAGGACTTCCTAACAGAAAGGAACCGTCATTAATTTAAAAGGTCCTTCTTTTTGTGCCACTACAGGTAGACTGATTGTTCTATTTTGAAATTAATATTTATTATCTAAGAAAGTTTTTTTTGAATCAAATTTATTGTAATGGCCTGCATCTCTGCCATGAAAGCAGCAACTATTATTTTCTGTTATTCACAGTCTAAATCATTAAAAAGCCAGGCCACAAGTTTAGAAAGTGGTTTTAATTTGCTTACAAATTGGACTGTCTTGCCAGCAGAAATGCAAATCTTTTCATCTGTCTAGAAGGAAATTTCTCTTTTATATTTGAAATAGGATATTGCTCAAATCAAAGAACTTGGGTAAATACTACAAATCAAAGGATGATTTCTCAACGTCTTTACGGTGAAAATTTGACCTAGTCAATTATTTCTTACAAAAGGAATAAAAGAGAAGTAATACTAAAATATTAACATGTATACCATTGAAGTAGATGGATTAACTTACATGAAACATTTCATGTAAGATTGTGCAGAATTTCTCCCAAAGTGGCTTTAAAAGTTTTCTGTGTTGCAAGAGGGACCTCTTGTGGCAAACATTCCGTGATTGTTTTGTATTTTGTTTCTGTGTTTGTTTGCTCGTATATAGATTCCAAACTGAAATTCAGACAGTGAACAAACAGTTCCCATGTGAGCCATTTAAGTTTTTGGAGCCAACACTGAGGCTGGAATATCGTGAAGCTGTGGCCATGCTTCGAGAGGCTGGTGTTGAGATGGGGGATGAAGAAGATCTGAGGTACTTTGGCAGTACACAAATGTGTCAGACTCTTGTGAAAGTGGTAGTAAAGTGTCAGTTTTGTGCTGTGCAACTAACAGTCCTCAAGAAGGAACCATAAGCTTTTTGAGGAATAAACAGTACTTGTATCCAGATCTCCTGACAAACAAATGGATATGAAAATAGTCCTTCCTTTTAATGTAGACTACACGTACAAACTCTGAAATCCAAAAGAAAATAACTTAGAACATAAAAAGAGAGTAACTTGAACCTTCGAAGGATAAGAAGCATTTGTTTTTCTAACAATTGCAGTCCTTCATGTGAATTGTCACGTGTCTTTGAACAGGATTAAGCAAAAGGATTCTTCAGTTTTAAGGTCTGTCTTTTCAGTAACACCTTCCCATTTCTTCTTTCCACTTCTTAGGAAAATGATTAAGCAATCATGATTGGCATTCCCATTGGTTTACTGAAAGATGGGTTTAACTAACTGATTATATATAAACTTTTCTAAAGACACTTAATAAATTTCTTTCCCATAATATGTCCAGTACCATTAGGATAATGTGTGATTTTACAGTTAAATGATCTGTGCATAAAGTTTAAATCATAGGAGTTTGACAGAGCAAAATAATTTCCTCAGCAACTGCTTATGGTGTTTCTCACTTACTGCGCCTAAGAGGAAATTGCTGCATAAGGTATATGCCAATAGGAAATAGAGTACACAATTTTTCAGTAAACAGAATATGGAGACTAGGAAGTAGTTACATTAAGAGCAAGAATATCTTTAGGTATCAGTTAATTTAAGGGATTTCTAGGACCAATAAAAATATTTAGGAACAGAAATACACTTTATTTCTGAAATTTCTGTCTGGACAATCCAAAACATTCAGAAACAAGTACTAGATTTTCTAAAGGGTGGGGGAAGCAGATCTGTAGCTTGAAATCCTTTTAGCTTTATGAAGTATATCATCAGTACAGGTTTAAATCACTTAGTTTTAATGGTGATAATCTTTTTTTCAGCACACCTAATGAAAAGCTCCTGGGACGCCTGGTAAAGGAAAAGGTAACAATTATTTTAGAATAAAAAAATTTGTCAATGAATCTGAAACCTGATGTCATGGAGTCACTGGGTTGGTAAAAATGCCTACTCATGTGAAACAACTTTTTACACACTGATTGAGAATACAGTATCTCAGAATATGCAGAAGTTGTGAAGAGGTTGTGATTAGCATAAGCATTTTTAATTGTCTGCATTCCCATTTTGCTGCTGCTTATATAATCTACTGACAGTTTTGTCTTTATCATTATTAAGCTCTTTCAAACCATTTTCAATCTTTTATATTTATTTCTATCATGTTATACTGAGTACTTTCAAAACCAGTTCTTATGATAATTAAAAAAACCCCACAAACCAGATTCTAACTAAATCTATAGGAGAAGATGAGATCTCTAACAAAAAAGTAAGTACCTGTTACCACAAGAAGACATTTTACTGGTAAACATTTGTAAGTTTACATGGAGGTAGTATTGGAAAACTGAAAAACAATACACCACTTTTATGTATAACTCTTATTTTTTTAAGATAATACTGTCAAGTTATTGGGACATCTTTTTTTACTTTATTTCAAAGATTCACTGGTTGTGTCTTCCTCTTGTAATTTGTTCTTTACATCATCTTCTCTTGTCCTAACTATTTTAAATTACCTTCTTTCAGTATGACACGGACTTCTATATTCTTGACAAATATCCTCTTGCTGTGAGGCCTTTTTATACAATGCCAGACCCAGTAAACCCTGTAAGTAAAATTCTTTGTTGTTGTCAGTGGGGGTTTTTTTGTAGTTTAAATTGTTCCATGTAGGGATAACTTGACAAAATAGATAAAAGTATATTTATATGATCTGCTGCTTTAATTAAAATTCTGATAACAAGATTAGGTCACTGTTACATATAACATACATTGTAAAATGTTTACAGTTGCTCTTCACTGGTGAAAACATACCAGAAAGAAAGAAATCTAGCTAAAACTGGGTTTATGAAGAGATCTCCGTGGTCAGAGCACTGCCACCATCACTGAAAAGAAGCAAAAATATTCTTCCAGGGCAACAGACACTTGAACAGAAAATACGCTTTTCTACATTGTTAGAAATTCCCCAGTTTATTCCTAAATCCAGGGTAAATATCTTTAGAGCATCTTTTGCTGGGATAACTACATGCAAGTCTAATGTTTTTTCAGAGGGCGTGTGGGTGAAGTTTTTAAAATCAACTCCAGTTTAATGAGAGGAGCCAAAGGGCTGTAATTCCCTGGCAGACTCCAAATACATTGCATTCTTACTGCATAACTTTGGATTTCATAAGTGAAGTTATTGAGAGGTGCGTATTTGCCACCTAAGGATGGAGCAACTGTAGGCAGGAAATAAACTCATCTTTGTTTTTCCAGAAAAACTCTAACTCCTATGATATGTTCATGAGAGGGGAAGAGATCTTGTCTGGAGCTCAGAGAATTCACGATCCTCAACTGCTGACAGAAAGAGCCCGGCATCATGGCATTGGTAACAAGTCAAACGTGAAGCTGAATTTAAAAGAATATAAATCATGATTGAATTTGTTTCCTTTAGAGGAAGAATTTGGGGCAGAATTTTTTATATGGCAGTAGTGCTAAAATCACAGTACTGTTTCCTTCTTAATGTTAAGCCATCTGGTTCTGTTTAACCATTTTAATCTAGAGTGGTAACATTAAGAAACTAGTTAGTTTCCCAGCAACACCTTGATGAAAAGGAATTGTTTCTGAGGACTTTAGAGAGAATGTAATGCAGGAAATACCTTTAACAGAATGAGGGCAGACAAACTAAGTTTGTGCCTCCCTGTACTCTCACAAACATTTTACAGAATACTCTGGCAGAGTTTTGGTTGGCTGTCCTTTTTAAATCTTGAACGGAGAGCAAATAAGCAAGAAGTGTTTCTTTGTTGAAATTTAAAGAAAAAAAAAAAAAGACTGAGCAGGGACAAGGCCAGCTAGTAATAGAAGGGTAAAAGAGTAAATTAGGTGGAGGTCAGAAGACTAAAACATAGATTAAAATTATGCTTTCTGTGAATGTGAAGCCGCAGGTAGGCAGTAGCAAAACAAGAGTAACTCCCACTGTAGCAAGATGGAAAAAGAGTTGCTAAATCTTCGCTTTCTCACTGCAGTTTATTCAAGAACTCACCATTTTCTGTAAGGTACAATGATCAGCTGGGTCTAGCTCTTACTCAGTTCTAGAATTTCTTCCCTGATTAAGTTATTAACAAAATTATAAACCAAAACTGTTATAGTCATAATTTCTAGCTAGTCCTGGATAATTTGTATGTTTAATGAGTAAAACCTTGCTGTTAGTTTGTAGGTTAAATTGGTAAATTTTTTTGTTGTGTTTGCAGTCCTCTAGTCACTCGTTGTTTGGCCTGGAGTTCATTAAGCAAGTGAGAAACATATCTTTTTCCTCTCTAGATTTGGAGAAAATAAAGGCTTATATTGATTCCTTTCGTTTTGGTGCACCTCCACATGCAGGTGGTGGGATAGGTAAGTATCTGTATTTTATTTGGTTCTCTGGTAGCCTGAGCTTAATTTAAACTGCTTGGTCTCAAGCAGGGCTCTTTATCCTGGAGAACTTAAGGAGAAAAGCTAAAATATAAGGATCATCTTAAAATAAATAGGCAAAATATTAATGGCACAGTCTGGCAAGTTTAAAAAGTAGGTGATCACAAGAAAAAATGCCAGTTTATTAGCCACGCGCATCACTTTCAAATTTGACCAATGAGGAAAATTTAAGCAAGCAAGAAAATACTATATTATGTATGGATTTATCATAGCCTACTAATTCCAGAAGCCACTGGTCTCTTAGTGCATTTGATGAAGCTGTTCTGCAGTGAGGAGAAATAAGTGATTGCTTCCGTCTTATGTAGTGATTTGACTGAATGTCATTGATCATTTTGGTTGATGCTGATTGTTTCAGCAAAGGTATTGAGGCTTTGTGGTTTGGGTGGATTTTACATATTAACATGAAAAAGACCATAGTTTTTAGGCACCTCAATAACAAATTTTAGTTATACACATTGCTTTCATTAGCAGAATGAAATCCGTTCATGCATACGGAAATAGGACAGTTTGTAGGTCCCGATCAATAAACACAATGATGTCTTTGATTTAGTCTTTCTGCATTTGCCTTTCTTTTGTAAAGTGTATTTAGTACATTCTCAGCACGTTCTCAGAACAACTTTGCTTTCAGTAAATGCATTAGATTTGTGATAAGCTCTTGCAACAACTGTTTTGAAATACCTACAAGATGTAAGTGTCAATGATCATGCAGTTCTCATGAGCAGAGGAGATACAGCATTTGCAGATGACTCAAAATCATTTAGGCCAGTCAGAGCTGACATCAAGGAAGCTGCAGCTACATCTTTTTTGTAAACTAAATGCTCCTCACTGCACATCCTGGAGGTCAGGGCAAGTACCAGCCAAACAGGAGATGCTGTCAGAATTAACAGTGGTTTCTAGCTGTTTCAGATGGAAACCTTAACATAGGAGGGCAGTGTGTGAAAAGTAGTACGCATCTGGGTTTCATCTCAGCAGACAGGGGTGCATATGTAGCCCATGGATTAGGAAGTCCTCCCATGTTCTTCCACAGTACACACATAAACTCTAAGATTTCAGGAAGAAAGAACACAATGACCAGTGAAATATTTAGTATCATACAGATACCAGCAGGTGGTTTCATGGGTATATATTGCTGAATCTGCATTCTTGTACTGTAGAGGGTTTGGGATAAACTTCCCCAACTGTAGGTTTTTACTGTAGTCGCTTATGGCACTTGTTTCTTACTCTGAAGCTCTTAAGACTGGTTATATTAAGAGTGTGTTATCAACATTATTCTCATACTAAATCCAAAACACAGTACCAGCTACTAGAAAGAAAGATTAACTCTATCGCAGCTGAAACCAGGACAGGATTATAGTGCTGTTACTGTACTCAAGGTACAGTTCTCCCAATTACCCACCTCCCATTTCAGTTTACTACACCATCATTCCTGAAAGTCCAAAGTGATTCAGAGCAGGGTTGAGCCTCCAGTGCCATTGCTCAGTGATACACGTTCCAAATGAAGTCTGTATCTATCACGGCAGACGGCGCTTTATGTAAAATCCCTAATTTTTGTTCTAACTCCTTCCTGTAGTTGGACGCGCTAATGTGAACATCTCGGTCTTTGGTCACACTACTACGTGAGGCACCTCCTTAAGAGTTTCAAACAGAAGACTGACTATACTGATGTTGTTGTTTTCATTTGTTGTAGGGCTGGAAAGAGTAACCATGCTGTACCTTGGGCTGCATAATGTTCGTCAGACCTCCATGTTCCCACGGGATCCCAAACGACTGACACCCTAACACGAGCTGCCTTTGAAAATTTGAGATGATTTGCCCTGCAAATATGATACGATTGCAAGCATATCCCCTGCTACTGATGAACCTCTATTGATTTGAGCATTGTAATATGCAATAAAAAAAAATCTCATTTACTAAAGTGCCACAATAATTTTTTTTATCCTTAGCTGTTTATTTAAAAGAAAATATTTTAACAGATCAAAACTCTTTGTATTGGCAGCTGTGCACATTTTTAATGAAAATGTGATACTTTGAGTTATTATTCTAGTGTCACATTAAATTGTATCATGTTTCTAAACATTTTAATAAATTATGCAATAAAAATTCTGCATTTTTAACATGTCAGCAAGATTGAATATTCTGAAGTACAGAATTGGCTCAAAGCTCAAATAACTGGATGCTTGCAATTTAAAAGTCAGGAGGAACCCAGCCAATTGTTAATTTACATGAGTGTCAGGTAGAGAAGCAGGTGAGAACAACATTCTTAACAAAAAGTCTTCATGTGAAAGTATGAAAATAGATTGCAATAAATCTCTCAAAGTAAATTAGATACAGTATCTGGCTTTCTGGTTTTTGCTTTGTACCCTCACAAGATAAGCATGAATTGATATGGGTTGTGTTTGGGTTTTTTTAATGATGCATTAACTGCCTAAAGTTTAAATTTATTTTCTTTCTATCTTCTTCCCCCTTTTTTTTTTTTTGAAAGAAGTTGTATACAAGCCATAGGCCTGTTCTTTATTTTATGTTATTATCTGAGAATGCATAGAAGGTTAAACACACTCATGGAATACACAAAGGATATATAATATTCTCAGAAAATAAATGGACAGTGAGTCTGAGAACAGGTCATGTGTTGTCGTGCCTGACCCAGCCTCTAGGATAACAAACAAATCAGCAAGGATTTCATGTATCTGTTCCCCATGAAAGAAAAGCAACTAATGTAAGCCAACCTATTTCAGGGTGTTTTTTTCATTTATAAATGCTGTGAACAGCGCAACCATTCTACATTTAGAGAAATTGGGTGTTTCTTTAAGTCAGAGTACTTCTAAAATTATTTCTAGACATCCTTTTTCTCAAATGAATTACCTACTTGAACCTCCTCAATTTGCAGTGATGTGCAAAACTACTACTCTTCCTCCCAACCCAAAGGATGTGACCTGCCTTTGGAGAGGAAGCAGTGTATTTGAATCTTCCTTTTATGGACTGCATCTGATAGTTGTTTTTCAAATTTAAAACATTTTTTTTAAAGTGTGGATGCCAAAGAGTAAAGGATTAAATTCCTTCCTTGGGCACTGCAATAGAGTTACTCTAATATTCATACACATTTGTAATTCCTGACTTAATTTTTGCTTTACATTTCACATGATAAAGAGCTTTCAGTAGGAGGTATGGTTTAGACTGTTATTGTTGCTACCTTGATTTTTAAATGTCAGAGAAGTCACATATTGGTTATGCTACAAAAAGGTCAGTGAGGCTGTGTATAAATTCTGTAGAATTTCACAAAAGGGCAAATCATCTTTTGCAGCTGCCACTGAACAAGACTTAATGTTTTGTGACAAGAGTTCTCCATTAGAAAACAATCATACTAAAGGTCAGTGAAGTCCTGGAAACGTAGAAATCGGTTTAGAAGTCACACAATTCAAGGAATAACATACTTTGCAGTTTTGCTTATGAGTCTGTTAAATTAATTTACCATGGAATCTTCCCAAAATGATTAACTCTAAAATCTAACAGTGTACCCAGTTGTACTTTACAAAGCTAAGTGGATTATACACACAGCTTATCATCACAGACTTATTACCAACAAATTCAAGTTTCAAAACAGTTGTTTATCCAGCTAAGCCAACTGGAATGAATTTAATTACTTTTGTTCATATAAAACTGGTAATGTATTCCACATCAGAAACTCATCCTTCTAATAAGGAGCAAAATTACTGACTTACACTTCATGCCAACAAAAAAAAAATATCCTGAGAACTATGTTTCTTGCTCTAGATTTGGCAGTAAGTTTTGTGCATACATTCATCCAACAACTGTGCTCATCCCCATTCTGTTAGTTACTTGAGCTCATGTTGTAGTTTGATTTATTCACAGTAGCTGCACAAGAACAAGAATTCAGATGGAGACCTTGATTCCTTTCATGCAGGTTTTCTTAGCTAACTGAAAATAATTATGATCATAAATCAAAATGCATTCACCCTGAATGTAATCTTAACAGGATACTTTAGTGGGAGCTGCACAGCATTAGAGCTTACTTTGAAACCTTGCAAATAGTAATTTCAGAACTTTATGTTTGATAAGTAGCAACTCTGGTTTGGTAGTTCTGGAAAAATCAAACCTGTATAGTCCTTTATTTCCAGTAACTTGCAGTAAGTTTAGCATTTTACATGGCACCCACATTGCTGCTGCTTCTCCACCAGTTACAGTGTTGGGATTTTTTTTTTCTTTCATGATACACAGATGGTAATTACAATCATGCAATTTTTTAAGCTAAGGAACTGGAAAGGATATTGGTAAGGAGTAGCCAGGGAGTCATCTGCTCAAAACAATCACAAAGCTTCAGTTTGCTTCTGAAGTTTAACTGTTTCTCCTGTAAAAACCCATCTGTGTTCACTGAGCTCTCCAAATCTGCCCAGCAGGAGAGAGGACTTGGGCTGTTCTTTTGGAAGCAAAGCACAGGAGTGTTCCCCAGGGCTGCACACACCTGTTGGGGGTTAGCACCAGTGGGCAGCTAAGCACCACACAGGTGCTTGCTCCCTGCCCACTGGGAGAGGGGAAGAGTAAAAGCAGGAAAACCTTGTGCTTCCACCCCCAGCCAGTCAATTCCAGGTGTGTTGGACAAAAAAGAAAAGTCAAAACCAAGCATGTTTTCTTGACAGCCATCTCTCAATTACACAACCAAATATTTTAATTATTTACTATTTCTTGTTTAGGTATCTGCACGCAGGGAGGGGGTGGATTTTTTTATTTTTGGTAGAAATCATGAAAAAATAGCAGAAATTATCTAGGTTAATTGATTATTTCTTTTAAAGAAGCTTCACAACTTGCACACATTTTTTGCTAGTATGATCTCACAAAACATGGAATTTATTCACTGCAAGTTTTTTTAAAAATTACCAAGTTCTACTATTTTCTTCAGATTTAAAAGAACAGGTAAGCATAGGATAAATTGTAAACAGTTGTGCAGGTTTTTTTCTACTTTGCCACCTCTTTAGCCCTTGGCCATCTTCAAAGAGGAAAAAAACAAAAAACCCAAAGAAAAGCTGTAATTATGCACCAAAGCACATAAGAATATGCATTAAAATAATACCAGCTTTCAAAAAAGACTAACCCAGCCAGAACCTCTTACTCTGGCCTCTGCAGTGAAAAGTGAGTGAACAATGTAGAGCTGAATCTTATTACACCCAAAAAACCCAAATTGCCAGGCAGCCTTTTACCATTTTGGAATTAAGCCTCTCTTCACTATATGGCAAGCACACCGTAATATGAAATAACGGTACAGAAGCTTGTGCTGCTAGCACCTTTCAAAGGGTTTCAGAACTGAAAGTCAACCCTTAGCTGCCTTAATTACAAGAAGATTCCCAGTTTAGGCACAGATTAATGACTTTACAGGTGGCAGAGAACTTCTAAGCGATTTTTCATGGCTATTGAAAGGGTTCCTGCTGGCGGGCATCGCGTGCCAGCAGCTGCCACTCAGTGATGGCCGTCAGCCATGGTAACACTTGGCAACCATTACCTGCTACCATCCTACCTATAAGCACAACTTTACAAACACAGAGCCAAGCGTCCAAACTAAAGCCTGCCCCTCACCTGGTTTAACTTAGACCCTTTTCACCCGAGGCTAGTCCTTTAGAAGGTGCAAGCCTACCTAGTGCATCCTGTCAGCAAGAAGCTGCCGAGATGCCTCCGGCACACAACACGAGTAGGAGCTTCCATGGCTCCGTGCTTCCTCAGCAGCTCCCTGGACGTACCAGTGGAGCTTTAACTCCAGTTACTGTAGCTTAAAATACTAAAAGCCACCCACGTACACGTCTGTGGGATGCATTCCTCCACCACACGTTGAAGTCCTCCACAACATTTACAAGTTACTGGCAAAACCAACCAAACTCCCCAGCAGTTCGAGAAAGCCCAGGACGAAGCGGCCTTCAAAGCACGTTGAAGTCCTCCACAACATTTACAAGTTTACTGGCAAAACCAACCAACCAAACTGCCCAGCAGTTAGAGAAAGCCCAGGGCGAAGCGGCAAAGCAAACGACCCCTCACAAGCTCCTCCTGCCCCGTGAATTATCGCTTTATAACACGTTGAAGTCCTCCACAACATTTACAAGTTACTGGCAAAACCAACCAAACTCCCCAGCAGTTCGAGAAAGCCCAGGACGAAGCGGCCTTCAAAGCAAACGACCCCTCACAGGCTCCTCCTACCCCCTGAATTATCGCTTTATAAACCC